CGTTTTGACGTGAAGACCTACCCGCAGGTTTTAAATCGAGTCACGGGGTATAATCATCATATATGATATAAGGACCTAAGAAACACGTTCTTTGTCACGAAGAGTAATTCTGTGGTTCAACAGCGATTGAATTGGAGAGAGAGGTTTATTATCTTGGTATTTTGGGGTTTGACAATAGCTTCAGCCACGCTTTAAGGATGGTATTAAATCCCTGCAGCTACAACATAAACAGCATTTTCTATTGCTACGGCAAGAATACTGATTAAAAAAAAAAAAAAAAAAAAAAAAAAAAAAAAATGATGCCGAGGGAATTATTGCTCTGAATAATACGAGTAGTTCATCCTAAAACTTTTGCAATGTATCGCGCCGTTTGTGTCATTTAAAAATAAATATTTGGGGGGCGGCATAGTTTAATTTAATGCACACACAACGACAATAAGAAATAAGTAAGCACCTTCTGAACAGAGCATGCAAATTCGATCCAAAGCAAGCTGAAGAAGTGCACTCTCTGCTTCCATTCGAATTTGGGAAATTCAAGTCTTTAAAGTTCTAAACGAATTTTTACACTTTATTATCATTTTTTCCTAAATTAATCTAATATATGATCTATTGCGATGCGAGTTCTACCTCTGTTAATTTTTAAGCTGGAATATTGGCGTAGATCGTTATCTTTCGTAATTTGTTTTTTTATTATACGTTTTTGGTACATACATTGATACATATCCATATAATATTCTTCACAGCTTTCCTCTTCCAACTTTCATTCTATTCACATTTGCCTTAATCTCAATTTCAGTTTGTTGAAGCCAATAATTTTCAGTAAGAATTTCTTTTGCTTGTTTTTTTTATACATTATAGTCAGAAGATTAATAGAATTTTGTTTCCTTCTTTACGTGCAATATTCTGTTAATCATAGAAAGTTGAGTAACTTAAAATTTTTATATTTAAGCTTGAAACGTATTTAACCAAGAAATTTTATCATTTAGTAAACTTACAACAAAATGCATATTCCAAATTAAGTTTTTTAAACCATAGTTTAACAATAGAACAATACTCAGAAATAAGTATAAGGCGAAATATTCAACGTGAAAATCAAAATGCCATTATAAGAACTGCTCAAAAAATATCATTTAGTTAAAAAAACTATGATGGTATCAGCGAATGTACACTGCGGGGGGGGGGGGAATAAATAACGTTCTATATCTTCCGTTCTACTGGATGGATTGACGAAATTCAACTTGAGTTTCTCATATCTGGAGAGCGCGACTTAGGATATGCATTAGATTTTTATATAGCATTGTTCTAATATAGTTATTTTGACACAAAATCGGACTTTTTCGGAAATGACATGCCAACTATTTTCCATATTTCGATGCTACGACTCAAATATGCCAAACTGCCAAGTTTTGTAAAAATCGCAAAAGCAGTTTTTAAAAAATTAACTCTCAAAATTTTAGCTCCTCAATGTTAATTGAATTTTATATATATTTATTAATATATCTTTTTTATTAAACTTATTTGGTACAACTTTCATATTTCAAAATTTAGGTTCATTCCAAATAAAATTCGCCTACTTTTTATGATTTATTTTAAAAATTTGTATTTTTAAATAATTTTTATAAATTTTTCGAAAGCAATTTTCGAAGCAATTTTGAATTATAACCTATAAAAGTTTTGCCATCATCTTAAAGTAGATGCATTTCTAAGCACACCTGCGAAAAATTAGAGTTTTTTATTCAAAATTTCTTAAGATATACGCGAATTTACGCGTTTTGAAATTTGGCGTATTTATTACAAGCAATAATAACGAAAATATGGTTTACGCACTTTTGTTAAAATTATTTGAAAGTATGAACGATGACTTTTTTTTCCGCTCGTGGATAATGAAGAAAAAGGAAAAGAAAATAAGTTGCTATAAATTAAGAAGTTCGCCATTCTTTGCGCAAAACGGGGGAGAAAAAAAAAAAAAAAAAAAAAAAAAAAATCACCAAGATAAATTTTTAAATTTCTCCATAAATTTCTCAGCAGAAATTACAAAATTTAATATCTAGGCATAATTTGAGTCGTAGAATCCATCTGAAACAGCATATCAATTTGCATATATTTGTGTCATAATACCTATGTTGGAGCAAAGCTATATATAAACCTAATATATATTCTAAATCGCGCTTTCGAGACATGACAAAGATAATTTGAATTTAGTCAATCGGCCTAGTAGAACAGGAGATACAGAACTGTCCCAGTCCCCCCCCCCCCCGCCGCAATATACCTAAAATTTACAAACTAGGAGAAGCACTAAGTTACTGATGCGAGAAGGTTTAGTATTTATGAGTTAATGAGGTACGTGCATTTGAACAGATCATTACGGCGTTGGGAATCGAATCTTCTAGTACAGGAAAATAACTTTAAGTAGAAATGTTCGGAATGCTAGAAGAATAGAAAAAGCTGCAAGTTTGTCAGAGAGTGTTAGTTTTATACGACTTTTGGCGACTGCTGTTTTGAGTTCCATTATCTATTAACCCGATCAGCTATATCCCAGTTTTGTGACATTTTGAATGCTCGGCCTGCTTAAATGTGAACAGAATAAATACTTACGTGGATCGAATAACTAACTACTTTCATGGTGGACAGATTTTAGTTGTTCCTTGGTAATGAAAAGAACAAATTCGAATTAAGTTATTGGCATTAAGTGCTTGTGTTTCTTCAGGCTTGATGAAAATTATGAAGAATAATAATGATTTTTCTGTTGTTACTGTTACTTATTCTCCCGACCTGAATCAGAGATCCATAAATTTTATTCTTTGGCCAAGAACTTGGGTACAATATAGATGACAGTACGACATGAAGGGCAAGAAGACAACATTTTCGGTACATAAAATTAAAAGTTAACTTTTGGTCCCATTGTGCAAAAAGATACTTAAATTAAGTCAGTTGGTGCACCAACTGACTTAATTCACTCTTTTAATAAGAGTTCAAATGTAACAAATGGCGACCTCGTTAGGCCTAGCGCATCTAAAAATTTAAATTGTTGACAATTCTACAGCTGTTGCTTGAAGATTAATTAAAGGTATAAAACCTCAACCGAAACATAAGAACAACATAATTCAGCCACTTTTAAAGCAAAAAATGAACAATTTACCAACATATAAGAATAAAAGTACTGAACTCACCGAGCCGGGTAAGAGGGTTAGAATACAAGTTTGGTGCAGCGGATTGCAACGAAAAATGGAGATGCACAACTACATGGTATAACAGTTCAATATACAAAAATTCAATATTCTACGACTAATTATTTTTGAATTCTGCGAGATACGTACCTGTACGTACAGATGTCACGAAAAGAAATCTCCCTTCTGAATGCATTTTAAATCCATTTTACAATCCGTTTTGAAAAAAAGAGACCTTTATTCTGTCAGCACGTACAGATGTCATAGAAAAAATCGTTGAGATGGATTCGAGACCAGTCAAAATGGGTATTTTTGTTGAAATTTGGTAATCGAAATGTTACAATACTTCCTTTTTTGCGATTACAATACTTCCTGAATACTTCGTACAAGGCATTTAAAAGAAACTGAGAGGAAAAAATTCAAGTGTCTTTCAATAGTACCCCCTTCTTTCCCTAGTAGCAAAGTCTTGAACAGACTTTCGACTCAACGAAATTTTAAATGCCCTCTTGACGCAAAGATATTATATATATATATATCAACATCCTTTTCACGTAATTGCTATTCTCCGGCCCAAAGATATGATTGCTGGCTTCATTAACCTTAGGATCCTGGAATTCTTTAACAGATTTCGACATAATTTTTGCGTGTATCATGATGTCTTGAATTACAATAATTGAATTCACGGAGAAGAAACAGAGAAAGGATATAGGATATTTCTTTTTCGAACTCTATCTAGGATAAAGTTGCTTTGTCTATAATGGCGACTCCACGGGAAAACTGAAGAAACGGATATCAAGATGTTTAATTGTTATTGTTGCGTGCGTACGGGTTCGTTATGAAATGAATGCACAAGTCCGATGAAAAATGAACAAAAATTTATTATTATCACAACAAAAATGCTTAAATTTTCTCAAATTATCATGCAGTAATTACATATCTCACACTAGTTATCTTTTAACTACTCAAATGTCCAATAGAACGTAATTCAAAACAGCTAAAGAACGCTAATCCGCGAATTCGCTACAATCAACAACAGTAGTTTTCTAAACAACAACAAACTAAGCAACTACCACAAACTGAGATGTTTTCCTCCTTTTATAAGATTTTAGAATCACGCGCTAGAATTTTCCAGTACTTTCTCGAAATCAAAAAGAGATATTTATTTATTTAATGCACGCGCTCTTGTATTTTCAATTTTCCGGCTTAGCTTTCTTTTAATATTCGTCACGCGCTGCACTGCGCGAGAAATAAAACCATTTAATTTATAATTGAACTAACATTAGCTTTTTAAATACCAAATTCGTAACATTATCAACATCTGTTTGTAAACGATTTTAAAGAAGGAAAATACAAAACAATTTTAAAAGATAAGAGATTCATGATTTCATATTTACGGAATAAATGCGAAATTTATTAGAATTAGCGATTTAACGCGAAATATTATTTATGAGCCTCTTTTGAACGAACTCTTTTGCTGAAATATAGACAGGCGATTGCTTCATGTTTCCACATACAGTTAGTTTAATCAAACCTTTGGCAAGAATTTGAGAATTAGTAACCCAAGTATAATTTTGGAGGTCCAACTTTATAATGGGAATGTTTACAACATCAACATTTGTTAAATACGTTCCTCTGTTAATCTGAAACGATCTATTGGCATATATAGCATATATAGCGACTAATTGATTTAAGGCATTTTGACAATGGAAGTGCATTTACAGAAGGTTTAAGCTTCTTTACGGCATTAAAAAATCATAAATGTTTGCAAAATAAAATTTACAGCGTTAAAAAATCATAAAGTTTGCAAAATACATACTATGGCAAAATACGTACATTGCATATCTTTAGTGCATCAGATAAGCCATCCGTGCACCACAGATTTATGAAACAACAACCCTCACCCTTGCCCAGATGTTCGCGTAGTTGACAAGAGAGGTGTTATCTTTACACTTCCTAAGAAAGATCATCTCTTAGCATGCTTTTATAAATTGTTACGGACACACCTTCATCACTTAAAGGTGCCTTCGTCATCGAAGCTCGAAATTTTATCTGATAACAAATACCAGGTGGAAACCTTATCAGCTGCGCATGTCACTTCTCTTCGAAGTTTGCTAGCGTAATTCTGACGCATGCGTTTAGCTTTCTCGATTCGTTCTTTTAGTGAATGGAGCACTTGACGTTAGTTCCAGTTTTTAAATAAATCGGTTTAGAGGACAAAGAGAAAAGCTAAGTCAACCTCGTGTGCTACTTCTGAATTTCACTTCTTGATCATTTAAGTCTCAAAATTCTTGTTATAATTCGAAGAACGAAATGCATCGAATTAGTGATTTATTTACGGAATGTAGCATCAAATTAGTGATTTATTTATGGAATGTATCTCACATCCAACACAAATTCTGTCTCACCTCACATGTTTTTGGCGGGGGGTGGGTTATTTTTAATCTTCTGTCTCTTTGTTTTGTCTTGAATTTCTTTTCAGTTTTGTATACCATTATCCATAATTTATATTATGGATAAAGGTATAAATATAATATAAATTATAATAATTAATAGTATAAATTATGGATAACGGTAAACAAAATTTGCTTTATTGAAAATTTCAAAACGAATGTCTTTTTAATGAATAAAAGGCATTCGTTTTGAATACCTTATTATTTAAGAATTTATAAAGTATTTTCTCCCTCCTTGCCGCATACCTTCGAGGTGTGACTGGAAACACCCTCGAGGCTTATTCAAGATGTCCGGAGTTCGAATACCGGCGAGAACATTGCACATTTTGCACGTCTTCAGCATTAGAAAAGACCCAATGACTCTACAGTGGCGCCCGAACTAAAAGCTGGTAAACGATAATTCGTCACCACCAGGATTTGGCGATTGGGTCCCTTGATCTCCAGTCGCCCTTTAAAAAGGGAAATATATAAGGTATTTTTTCCCTCCTTGCTGCATGCAGGCGCGATGTAACTAGAAGCACACTCAACGAGTATTCAGAAGGTCCGGGATTCGAATCCGGGGGAGGGCATTGCACATTTTTCATGTTTCCAGCATTAAAAAACATTATGACTCTACAATTTTTAGGTAACTAGAACCTATGTAAGGTACAGGGTTAAGAAGCGTTATTCATAATTTAACAGCTTTATTCACAATTGTAAAAATTAATACAAACAATAAAAAAAACAAAATCTGAAATGTTTCAGATTTTAAATTACGTCCAAAGGGGTGTTTTTTAACATTTTGTGTGTTACCTTTCTTTATTAAATATCATGTTCTTCGCACTTAAACCATAAGATCCAGTGCAACAGCAATATCGCAAAATAGTTTTAAAACGAACATATCTTTAGAATTTCCGATACAGAGACTCACGCGCTGGAGATATAAATGTTTTTTCTGCCAACGTTGCCATTGCTCGCTTGAAATCCTTGAGTTTGTTAATCAAAAATTCGTCAAAGTTTTAAAAAAATAGGAAATCGATCATAAAACAAATTCCAAATTTCAAATTTGGTCTTCCACATGCTCATATTCGTTGGAGGATTACGTTATTCAAAATTCGATGACTCTATGTACCGTTATTTTTTGACAATGTGAGAAATATACATACATTTACGCGATTTTTCATTATTTAATTTCTTCAAATATAATGCAGGACTCTAACATTTTATGGCAACAGTTTGAAAAGTGAACCGACATTTATAGGAGTCCGACGCAAAATGCCAAAACGAAAGCAATAGTCCTTCGGGACTCAAGTCCCTTTGGACTAATAATATTATAATACATGCTAAAAATACTGCAGAATATAATTAATTACGCAGCATATAATTAGCTCAACAGTAATGGTGAAAGTATGCGGATGTATTGTATATATTTAGTATTGTTATTTTGTATAATAATATGTGTGTATATATACGTTATTTTGTATAATTGTTTTTATATGTTTAAATAATATAATTATTAATATTAGAGTTAGAATTCAAAATTATGTAAGTAATTTAGTGAATATATGTAAGTTGTAATGTATAGTTAGTGAATATATGTAAGTAGTTGTTAATATGTGTAAGTAGTAATATTGCATTATATTTATTTGTGCATTAAAAGAAGTATCATATTAAAATTATATTAACAACTGGGTATATGTATTTTGATTTGTATTCTGATATCAGTATTATTATAATATGATTTCAGCACTGTAATATAATATTGTCCTGGTGTACTGTTATCATACTAATTGTTCTAAGTGCAAAGTACATAAATGATCCATGTGAGAATATAGTGTATTGTAGTAGAAGATTAGTGTAATACACAAAAGTAGCAATAATATAACGTAAAGTATTACGCAAAATGGAATCGTATTATTGTATCTATAAGTGTACTACATATTATAATGTATATATGTCATAATCTATATATTAGTTATGAACAATAATTGAGTGTTGTGGACTATTTATGAACTGACATGAAACTATTATGGTTATATTACGTATACATGACATATGTAAATGACATGTATACGTATGTACATGATGTGGACTAGTTATATTATTATGAACTATTAAGGACTATTATCGACTATTAAGGTCTGTCATGTACTATCATTGAATATTAAGCACTAAAATGTAATTAATATGGATTGCTAATATGCATGGACATTAACTGCACGAGGCAAGTACAAACGATAAAAATGGACAATTTATATATTAGAGAATGAGATTTATTAATCTTGCACAAAATTATTAATTGGACATTGAAAACTAACCACGATTAATAGACACTATCTATGTTTAAAGGACAAAATTACAAGTGCAATACTTATACACCAATGAGAATTTAACATTGATATGTAAGACTTCACTAATATGTAAAAATTTTTAAAATAAGAATCACGTATCAAAGATGTAACACGACTACTAGTGACTATGCAAACACTCTATGTAAACGTATTCGAATTTATCAATAAATGCACGGATCAAGCATTAGTTCTGTTTGCATATTGCTTAGGTCAGAAGCCTGGTCGGTGGTGTAAAGTGTCAAGAAGCCATCAAAACTGTACAATTAGTTACTTTCATATAAACTGCAAACTGCGCTTTTACTAGTCAAAAGACTAGAAATGAAAGATTGTATTTAAACCAAACAAACAATCGATTCTGTGTTGGCGTAATATAATTTAATAATATAAAATATAATTTAATAATATATAATAGCGTAACATAAACGCGAATTGACAGAATTATTGTTTTTAACAGAATAGCACTGGAGTAATATGGTAAAATGGTACAAGCCGAATATGATAAAAAAATGGCATCAGTTGGGCTTCGATGTAGAAGATAAATCTTGTTTTGATCAAAATGGATCACGGAGAAATTGTGTTTCTCAATATTCTTATACCTTCACTTTTGGATTTTAAATATTAATTTCTTTGCTTGTAGGACTGCCTTCGTAAGAGAACTGCATGTTTATTATGGTAAAGTAATTTTTTTTTTTTTTTTTTTTTTTTTTTTTGCTGGATTACACTAAGCAATAACTATTTACGGGGTAATACTCCTGGTTTTGGATCGAGAAGTACCTTACCTTAATTTATCGATGTTAAAGATCGGTAAAGACCAGAAAAAGGGGGAGAATATATCTAAAACGACTGGAGTACAAGTTGTAGTATAGTTATTTACCAGGTACAGTAAGCCAACAGGAACTCTGATGAAAGAAATTTAAGGCAAATAAGCATGACATATTTTTTTTTTTTTTTTAGATTGGCAGACATTAATCAACCTCAATGGAATTTGATTAAACTATTTCACAAATTACAGATAAAATGCAATAAAATTATTCTGGAAATATAATCGAAACGTAGGGATAAATATTCAAACAGAAAACATCATCTTTTAATTCTTTATATTTCATGCCTGCCTCTTTCTGCGTACAATAAGAGGAAAGAGAAAACTGAGTGCTATTACACTGTTACAAATTTTGTATTTAGATAGGTAGTTTTAGCAGAATTATAGTTAAAATTGTTGTATTTTTCTGCGTAATGCAGCGTGAGAAAAATTTTAAGAGAAAGCTATGCCGGAAAAGTAAGAATACAGGGGAAACGTGCATTCTAACGTTGAGTAAATGGATATCTCGGTAATTTATATTGAAGTTGATTAAATACAATTAATCACTATGTTAGCTGTAACCGTAATTTCATTCTCGGATTGCTTTCCAGTAATTTTGAGAAAGAGAAAGTGCTTGAAATATCTCTCGGCGGCCGGTTGAAAAGCTGTTTAAGACCGAAAAGAAAGCATCTGCTCTCCATTGCTTGGTTACTATTGTTGTGAGTTGTTTAGTTCCGCGTGAACTGAGATATCCGAGTTAGCTTTCTCTTTAGATGCGCTTTGCATTACGTTGTGTTTAACATTCTTGGTAGTTTGAAGAGTTACTACTGATAATACTGTGTGATACTGTTAACACTTGTACGAATACTGTAATGGAAAATTCCAGAGATCTGAAATATTCCTTTTGATACAAAAATAATTTTTTATTAACCTATTATCGGACTTGTGCATTCAGTCTATTACGAACCCGTAGGTACGCAACAATACTTAAACATATGCATGTTATAGATAGTAGGAATGACAAGTAAAAACTGTTCAAATAACATGCAGAATATTAGTTCAAGTGCAGAATATTAGTTAATAGTTTGAAAAAGTTTTGAGCTTTCGAAGAAATAAACTTTGTCCGTGGAAAAAGAAGGGGAAAGGACGTGTTTTTTTTTTTTTTTTTTTTTTTTTTCCAATTTACTTATACATACATGTATCGAAAGCATTTGGGCTAAAAATATTTAAATGCAGCATATCTTTAGAATTTCCGATGAACAGCCTCGCGCGCTGGAGATAAAAATATTTTATTGCGTACGGTGTGTTTGTTGCCATTGCTTGTTTTGAAATTGTTGAGATTCTTAATCAAAAATTCGTTAAAGTTTAAAAAATAGATAATGAAACAAGTTCGAAATTCATTCTTTTAAGTGCTCATATTCGGGT